GAAGAAAAAGGTGATCAATAAGGTATGTTGTGGGTGGCTAGGAGTGGGGTGATTAAGGAAGTGGTGTGCTACAAACGTACTTTTTCATCAAACGTGGTTAAGGGAGCAGCTATCTAAATATCTAGGTTAGAAGTGGTGCAGTTATAGGGGACAGCAAGTACAAAGGGTCTGAGGTAGAGCCTTGCCTGGTATGTTAGGAGACAAGTGGCTAGAGACAAAATGAGTGGAAACATAGAGAAAGAGAAGACTGAGAGGTAGCTGGGTCAGTGACAAATACTGTAGGACTTTGTAGGTCATTGTAAATGCAGGTGTGGGCTTCTATTCTGAATAAAAAGGGAAACCAGTGGAAAGTCTTGAGCACAAGAATGATGTGACGTTTTTAACAGATATGTGTATCCTTGACCAACATACAATGCTTTTTGGCTATTTTTGTTTGTTAATTTTGTTTTAAAGTTTATTTTTTAGATAGCGACAAAGCAAGTGTAGGGGGGTTAGAAAGAGAGGGAGACAGAGAATCGTAAGCAGGCTCCATGTTGTCAGTGCAGAGCTTGACTTGGGGCTCAAACCTATGAATCATGAGATCATGACCTGAACCAAAATCAAGAGTCAGACACTTAATCTACTGAGCCACTCAGGTGCCCCCATGGCTTTTTTTGAATGTATATAAATAACATTGTGCCGTACATCTCATTCTCCTTTTACTTTTCCTACCCAACATTGTTTCTGAGATCTACCCAAGTTGCTCTCTGTAAATTTGCTTTATTTTTTCTGACCTCGTGTATAATATTTTATTATGCACCTAGAATATATTTTAATTATATATTCCTCTAGTAACAGACTCTTGCACAGTCCTCTAGTAACAGACTCTTGCACAGCTTCCAACTTCCTGCTACTACAAACAGTCCTGTGATCAACGTGCTTATAAGGGCCTCCTTATGATCATACTCAGGAGTTTCCTTGGGGTGATTACCTCAGAGAGGGATTGTAGGGTGGGAGGATGTGTGTGTTCTTAATTCCAAGGTTGTGCTTCAGGGATGGTGGCTTCAGTTACACTCCCACCAACAGTGAATGATAGTTTGCATTTTCTCATCAGATTCTCATGTTGATCCAGTAAGAGAGGTCAAGTAAGGTTCCTGGAACTGAAGCTTAAAGAGATTAGGCAAATTACCCTGGTTTATATAAACCAGACAGCCTCTTTAACAGATGGTGCTGAGAGAACTGGACAACAGCATGCAGAAGAATGAAATTAGACCACTTTCCCACACCATACACAAAAATAAACTCAAAATGGATAAAGGACCTGAATGTGAGACAGGAAACCATCAAAACCCCAGAAGAGAAAGCAGGAAAAAATCTTGACCTCCACTGCAGCAATTTCTTACTTGACACATCCCCAAAGGCAAGGAAATTAAGAGCAAAAATGAACTATTGGGACCTCATCAAGATAAAAAGCTTCAGCATGGCAAAAGAAACAATCCATAAAACTAATAGACAATCGACGGAATGAGAAAAGATAGTCGCAAATGACATATCAGATAAAGGGCTAATATCCAAAATGTATAAGGAACTCATCAAACTCTACACCTGAAAAACCAATAATCCAATGAAGAAATGGGCAAAAGACATGAACAGACACTTCTCCAAAGAGGACACCCAGATGGCCAACAGACACATGAAACCATGCTCAGCGTCCCTCATCATCAGGGAAATACAAATCAAAACCACACTGAGATACCACCTCACTCTGGTCAGTGGCTAAAATGAACAAATCAGGAGACTAGATTCTGGCGAGGATTTGGAGAAACGGGCACACTCCTATACTGTTGGTGGGAATGTAAACTGGTGCAGCCCCTCTGGAAAACAGTGTGGAGATTCCTCAAAAAATTAACACTAGAACTCCCCTATGACCTAGCAATAGCACTGCTAGGAATTTACCCAAGGGATACAGGAGTGCTGTTGCATAGGAGCACATGTACCCCAATGTTCATAGCGGCACTCTCCACAATAGCCAAAAGATGGAAAGAACCTACGTGTCCATCAGTGGACAAATGAATCAAGAAGATGTGGCTTATCTATGCAATGGAATACTACATGGCAATGAGAAACAATGAAATCTGGCCATGTGTAGCAACATGGATGGACCTTGAGGGTGTTATGCTGAGCAAAATAAGTCAGGCAGAGAAGGACAAATACCATATGTTTGCATGTATAAGAGGATAAGAAGGAACTTAATGGAGGACCATGGGTGAGAAGAAGGGAAAAAATAGTGCGGGAGAGGGAGGGAGGTAAACCACGAGAGACTCTTGAATGCTGAGAACAAACTGAGGGCTGTTAGGGGTTGGGGTGAGGAAAGGGAAGTGGTGGGCATAGAGCAGAGCACTTGTGGGGATGAGCACTGGGTGTTATATGGAAACCAACTTGCCAATAAACTATTTATTGAAAAAAAGGACATCCCACCTAGATTATAGGACCTGAGCATGATGCCTTCCAAAAAGTAGGAATTCTCTAACTGAGTGTGGCTGGTTGGTTGTGTATAACCGAAGGCAGCCTGATAATTTTCAAACAAGATTCCTGATAGGCAACCAATTCTTTACCACCCTGTGTGCCTTATACAGGCCATGAATGATGTGCAGTCAAGGTTTTATCACAGTTGGTTTTTCCTTCATACTTTTCATTTCGTTTGCATTCTATGAGGAAAGTAATACCATTTACATCTGTACCTGAGCCAGGTTTATAAAGGTTGCTTGGCTACAAAGTATGTATTTCAAAGTCAAGTAGATAGGAATTCTGGATTATGGGCTCTTTCAGGTTTCTTTTCTCAGTTTGTGTATCTGTTCAACAAATACTTATTGAGCACCCAACCCACAGTATAATGGAGAAGACAGGCAGCTGACCCGGAATTTCAATTCATGAGGGTCAGTGGCACATGGGGGCAGCCTGGGTGCTATGAGAGCACATATGAAAGGCAGCATAAGAGTCAGGGGAGTCCTCCTGGGGAAATAACTTCTGAGCTGTGAACTGAAGGAGAAGTGGAGGTTAGATTGTGAAGGGACCAAGTGGGCATAAGAGGCAAGGGAACATGGTGAATATAGAAACCACCACTGGAGCAGGAACTGGGCAGGGGCTGAAGATGGAGGACTCATCACAGGTCAGATGGTGAAGGAAGGAAGGACCAGGAAAGAATATCAGTGGGAATCACTGAAGGGTTTTAAGCCTGGGGGTGAAAGAGGTGGCATGTCAATCACATTCACAGTGTAGAAAGGTTCCATGAGTTAAGAAGTGACCCTCCTTATTATCTCACATATTTGTTGGTAAATCATAACATTGGAACTTATGGGTGACAAATAAGAAGTGTAGATGGACTTGCATGCTGAAGGTCTGATCCATAACCCAAGAGTTCCTTTTGATAATCTGTAGATAAGACTTTTTAATTTTGACTTCTCTTTCTGTCTTTAGAAACCTCTGACATTTCCTAAAATTCTCTCAAACCAAGTCTGAGTAGGGAGGAAAGTAGGGGCTGCATGACATTGCTTTCTCTGTTCTCCAACTATTCATTTCCATGGCTTTTCTGTGAATTGTTCATTCAAAGCCTTGCTTCCCATTGAGGCTTCCCATTGAGGAGGGGCCCATTTGAGTAGCAGCATGGGAAGACGGGAACCTCATGCCAATTCCTTCATTAAGAAAACATATTTGGCATATTGAAAGCCTGGTTTTAGTGAGTTAAAAATAACTGAAATATTAATAGGAGTTACAAGTGAGTGATTTAATATAAAATCACAGAGCACAGTAGCTGAAAGACTGCTGGCAGCTGACATCACAGATGGTGTGGGATGTTTAAAGATCACAGTGCGACCAGTGAGCAGAATTCCTGCAAAAGTGAGCTCATCTTCTTTCCTGGAATCCAAAGAGGGAGGAGACAGAAGGAATTGTTTAGGCTGTGTGCTTCTGAGCTAAGTGATTTATTTCTTTCCTTTCTATCCATCATACTCTCATAACTATGGATGTAAAAATTGTACATTTTTCCTGGTTGCTTCATAAAACCACCTTTATGGCTCTTCTCCCTTCTCAGTAATGGACTGTTGGTTGGCTGCCACACCCATTTTTCCAATGTTTCCTTACCAAACAGGCTGCTCCTCTCCTTCTTGGAATAGTTATGAAGGCCTTGCCTCTTTCTCCATCTTTCTCTCTTCCTACAACACCCCTGTGGGCCTACATGGGTAAAGGGAAGGGTTGGTCTATACATTCTTTGCCACCAGTACAGCTAAGTGGAAGATGCAGAATGAGGAGAAAGGGGGCCAAAGTGACATCTGTCTTTAGCTAGCTGATTTTGGGGCTAAAGATTTTAAGACTGGGAGACCAGTGGGGCCCCTGGGTAGCTCAGTAAGCTAAAGATCCCACTTCAGCTCAGGTTATAGTATCATGGCTTGTGAGTTCAAGCCCTGCATCAGGCTCTCTGCTGTCAGCACAGAGCCCATTTAAGTTCCTGTATCCCTCTCTCTCTGCCCCTCTGCAGTTGGTGCTTTTACTTTGTCTCAAAAATAAAACCATAAAAAAAAAAAGACTGGAGGGCCAATATTTGTAATTTAAACTCATATGATATTTAAAAAAATAGTTCTGTAATTGCAATCAGGCCCTCTAGTCAATGAATTAATGTGTCATAATTCATGCTCAAGCACGGCACAAACATCACACATATGAATTGTTGCACCATAAATTCATGCCCTCTTGTGTCTTATAGCTTAATTAGTATATGAAGCTACATGAGATGTACCCAAATTGCATTATGTCATGTAGTTCATTAAAATGCAGAATGTTGGGAAGTACTTGTCACTTTTCTGGGGCAAAGCAAAGTTTATTTTTCTTTGATGTCCTTTGGTGTCAGTTTCTGTGACATTTGGGCTGCAGCAGGTAACCTGAGACTTCTTAGTGTTGGTTGAACACCATTGTTCAGTAAATATTTATTGTTTACTTAGGCATTATGGAAGGATAGCACATATAAGATGAAATATGAAGCATCAGCTTTCAAGCCTGAGCAAAGGAACTCAGCAGTGACAACCCAACTTGGCCTAACTGAGACTCAGCGAACCCAATTCCAGACTCTCGGCTCCCGGCACTTGCTGCAGCTCTCTGATCCTAGAATCTTCAACTCCAGCTGTGTCATGGTACTTTGCAGATTTGGTCAAAAGCTGGTACGCAGATATAAACTGGAACATTTGGTGGATGAGGATGACCTACGTGGAAGACTGAACACTCTGGGTTTAGTGGCCCTAGGTGTGTGCTCTACAGTGGGTGCAGTTATCTATGTCATAGCTGGTGAAGTGGCTAGAGATAAAGCAGGACCATCCATTGTGATCTGTTTTTTGGTGGCCAGTCTAACTTCTGTTCTGACAGGGCTGTGCTATGCAGAGTTTGGTGCCCGTGTTCCCTATTCTGGCTCTGCATATCTCTACAGCTATGTCACTATAGGTGAAATCTGGGCTTTCATCACTGGCTGGAACCTCATCTTTTCCTATGTTGCTGGTACAGCCATTGTGGTCTTTGCCTGGAGCTTAGCTTTTGACAACCTGTTTGGGAACCAGATCTCTCAGACCCTGAGTGGAAGCATCTTACTGCATGTTCCTCAGGTCCTTGCAGAAATTCTAGGCTTCTTTGTTGTGGGCCTTGTGTTGTTGCTCATCGGATTGCTGACTCTGAGGGCTAGGGAGTCAGGACTGTTTACCAAAGTAGTCACATTGGTGAGCCTTTTAGTTCTCAGTTTTGTCATCATCTCTGGTTTCATTAAAGGAGACCTGCACAACTGGAAACTCACAGAAGAGGACTACATAAAGGCTGGACTCAATGACACCTCTAGCTTGGGGCCTCTGGGCTCTGGAGGATTTGTGCCTTTTGGCTTTGAGGGGATTCTCCGTGGAGCAGCTACCTGTCTGTATGCATTTATAGGTTTTGAAAACATTGTTACCAGAGCTCAAGAAGCCCAGAACCCCCAACATTCCATCCCTATGGGCATTGTAATTTCACTCTTCATCAGCACTTTGATGTATTTTGGTGTCTCTTCAGCACTTACACTTATGGTGCCTTACTACAAGCTTCAACCTGGGAGCACCTTGCCTGAGGCATTTCTCCATATTGGCTGGGCCCCTGCCTACTATGTTGTAGCTTTTGGATTTTTCTGTAGTCTTTCTGCCAGCCTCTTGGGCTATATGTTCCCCATACGTCAGTTGATATACATTATGGCAAAGCATGGCCTCCTGTTCCCTCTTCTTGCCAGAATCCATTCACACACATACACCCAGATTGTGGCCACTGTGATCTTTGGCATTATAGCAGCAATCATGGCATTCTTTTTTGGACTCACTGATCTTCTGGACCTCATGTCAATTGGGACCCGGCTAGCTTACTCCCAGGTGGCTTTTTGTGTTCTTATCATCAGGTATCAGCCTGATATGCAGAATGAGGGAAATGAAGCAGAGGTGCAAGAAGAGAATAGACCTGCAGCAGAGAATCTGACTCTACAGAGACTACTTTTTCCAGGCAGTTCCATTCCCACTCCACTCTCTGGCCGGGTTGTCTATGTTTCCTCCTCACTACTTGCTCTGCTGCTCACACTTCTGTGCCTAGTGCTGACCCAGTCACCAGTTCTGCTTTCTGGGGACCCAGTGTGGATTTCAGTGGTTGTGGTGCTCCTGGTGCTCATCACTGGGCTCACTGGGGTCATCTGGAGACAGCCACAGAGCTCCAGTCCCCTTCCCTTTAAAGTCCCTGCTCTGCATCTCCTCCCACTACTGAGTATCTTTGTGAATGTTTACCTGATGATGCAGATGACAGCTGGCACCTGGATCCCAGTTGGTGTCTGGATGCTGATTGGGTTTGCTATCTACTTCAGTTATGGGATCCAGCAGAGCCCAGTCTCCAACCCCTCTTAAATTAAGACCCAAACTGTGGACCTTGAACTCAGCAGTGCCAGTACATATTTGGTTTGACATCATCACGCCTGAATGGAGTCCGGGTCACTGCACAATAATGGAGAGTACTTTTTAGCACAGGGAAAGCTAGTCGTCCCATGGCATGTTGGTTGGGGAACACTAATAGAGTTGTGGAGCAAAGCATATGTTTTTACTTTCCTTCCTTTTTTTTACGTGTTTCATTTTCAGTTGTATCTGCAGCTGCTTACTGGCTTTAAAAAAATATTAAAATAAACTAGAAAAGGTGTTTTTGCTTTCTTTGGATAAATATCCAGTAGTTGAGTGCTCTGCTTATTTATCTGTAACATGAGAGGTCAAAATTGATCATTTCTAAATTTCCATTTACTTAAAAGAATCTAAGATTTTTGGTTATTCTCTCTTGTTATTTCCTCACCTATGTCTCTCTACTGAATGCAGTCTGAAACTGCATCTTGCCCACTTTTCATTACGACCCATTGTTGAAGCTACAAATGTTCAATAAATAACACCCCATTTCCCTCTCCTATGTTTGGAACAAATTAATAATCAAGACACAGAGACATATGATTAAACCATCAGCTTTAGAGCTGCAGCCTAATTGGCTTACCAATCTCACATCACTAAATTATATAGACTTACTCATCATCACAGGTTGTGCTGAGCACCCCCTGCTCCCATCACTGGAGCAAGTCTCCCTTTTATTAAATTTTCTCATGTATGAGCAAGTTGGAATGCATGTGTCCTATAGGAAGTTTGGTTCTGGATAAAAACAGGAATCCCCCCAAAACCTAGAAGATCTTAAAGTGGGCATTTCTCTTCAACTCACTAATTAATATCACAGTAAGGGGTGGGTGTAGAAAGGACAGGGTTAGTACTCTGCTCATTGGTGCTCAAACTTTGAGTGCCACCTCATCTGGAGGGCTTGTGGAAACACATATTGCTGAGCCCTATCCCAAGCATTTGGAATTCAGTAACTCTGGGTGGGCCCCAGAGCTTGTCCTTTAATCAAGTTCCCAGGTAAGGCTGAGGCTACTGGTCTAGGGCCCCACTTTGAAAGCCAAAGCTCTGGCTGAAGGCCCTCCGCAGGTAAATTGAAAGGAGATAAAATGAAAGTGACCTTTTATCTCTTCCTTCCTTCCTTCCTTCCTTCCTTCACTCCCTCCCTCCCTCCGTCCCTTCCTCCATCCCTCCCTCTCTCTCTCTTTCTCTTTCTTTTGTAATGTTTATTTTTGAGAGAGAGAGAAAGAGAGAGAGAGAGAGAGAGAATGAGCAGGGAAGGGGCAGAGAGACAGGGAGACAAAGAATCCAAAGCAGGCTCCAGGTCTGTGCTGTCAGCACAGAGCTCAACTTGAGGCTTGAACTCACAAACCCGCAAGATTATGACCTAAGCTTAACTCGCATGCTTAACCAATTGAGCCACTCCATCACTTACCTTCCTTAAATGAAAGATTTAGATTAAAATATCATGGTTAATTCTTTCATAGTGTGGAAATTAGTGAATCGTTTCACAGTGTATATGTATATCAAATCATCACAATGTATACTTTAAATATCTTTCAATTTTATATGGAAAGTATACCTCAATAAGGCTGAAATAAAGAAATACTAAAGTTATCTGTATATTTTTGTGTTTTTTAAATTTTGTTTCCTGATTATAGACTATATGTAAGGAGTGTATCTTGTTCACCCCCCAGAGCATCTGCATAGGGGCCAGGCACATAATGAGTATTTAATAAATTCATGTTAAATTGAATTCACACACACACACACATATGGGGGGGGCACAGGAAATTCTCTTCCTTTCAGGCTAGCGCTGTGCTACTCCTTTAAAATTGTCTTCTGAAGAATGAAAATAGATCATTTTCTCACACCCGACACAAAAGTAAACTCAAAATGGATAAAGGACCTGAACATGAGACAAGAAACCATCAAAACCCTAGAGGAGAAAGCAGGAAACAACCTCCTTGACCTCCACCGCAGCAATTTCTTACTTGACACATCCCCAAAAGCAAAAGAATCAAGAGCAAAAATAAACTGTTGGGACCTCATCAAGATAAATAGCTTCTGCACAGCAAAGGAAACAACCCACTAATAGGCTATATTAGTTGCCTATAAAACTAATAGGCAACCGACTGAATGGGAAAAGATAGTTGCAAATGACATATCAGATAAAGGTTGAATATGCAAAATCTATAAGGAACTTACCAAACAACCCAGTAAAGAAATGGGCAGAAGATATGAACAGACAATTCTCCAAAGAGGACACCCAGATGGCCAACAGACACATGAAACAATGCTCAGCATCCTTCCTCATCAGGGAAATACAAATCAAAACCACACTGAGATACCACCTCACGCCAGTCAGAGTGGCTAAAATGAGCAAATCAGAGAACTCTAGATGCTGACGAGGATGTGGAGAAACCGGCACCCTCCTACACTGTTGGTGGGAATGTAAACTGGTACAGCCCCTCTGGAAAACACTGTGGAGTTTCCTTAGGAAATTAACAATAGAACTACCTATGACCCAGCAATAGCACTGCTAGGAATTGACCCAAGGGATACAGAAATGCTGATGCATAGGAGCACATGTACGCCAATGTTCATAGCAGCACTCTCCACAATAGCTAAAACATGGAAAAAGCCTAAGTGTCCATCAACAGATGAATGGATCAAGAAGATGTGGTTTATCTATACCAAGGAATATTACATGGCAATGAGAAAGAATGAAATCTGGCCATGTGTAGCAACATGGATGGACCTTGAGGGTGTTATGCTGAGCGAAATAAGTCAGGCAGAGAAGGACAAATATCATATGTTTGCACATATAGGAGGATTAGGAGGAACTTAATGGAGGATCATGGGGGAGAGGAAGGGGGAAAATAGCGGGGGAGAGGGAGAGAGGTAAACCATGAGAGACTCTTGAATGCTGACAAAAACTGAGGACTGATGAATGTGGGGGGGAGGAGGGATGGGCATGGAGGAGGGCACCTGTGGGGATGAGCACTGAGTGTTAGTGGAAACTAATTTGACGATAAACTATTTGTAAAAAAAAATAATAATAATAATTAAGAATTGAAATCACACAATAAAAAAATTAAATATAAAAAAATTAAAAAAAATTTTTTTCCAATCTCAATTTTACTGCTAATACCTTTTAGTGATGTTCATTTGTTTTGATAAATGGCTAATTTTTTAAAAAATGTTTTTTACTATATTCTCATTATTACACTATTCACTATTTTTCATTATTTTGCTATTTACTATTGCCTTTACTGTCTCATATTTTCCTTTGGGGTTGCATTATAATATTAAGAAGGTACAATATTTCTAAATGGCTCACTCTAAAACTGGTAATTACAATCCCCATTTAATTCTCCAAATTCTGTAAATAACCATTCTATATAAGTGGGAAAACCTACCATGTAATTACTGATATATACTGATATCCTAATAATTATTGTGCTTTGATTTAATAAACTAAATGGTAGGCAATTCCATAGTGATTCTAATTCCCATTGCTAGCTTAGAAAACCAAACAAACCATTTGCAGGAGGAGGAACTAGTACTTTAACCCCATTGGAATCTAATCTTTTTCACTTCTGGAGCTTCTTATTTTCACACGATCTCACTCACACTGTGCTCTAATTAAATTGAACCACACCGGCAGAACCCAGGATATGGTATGTTTTTTCTTAACTGAACATGCACATAACTTTTTCTATGAAGCTCTTCCTGCAACTAATGTCACCTAGCTAAATCTTCACTGATCTTTGGTTTCAACAAGCCATCACCTTCCCTAAGAATCTTTATTGAATGTCCTTAAGACTGAGCTAGGTGTCCTCTCTACATGTTCCAATAGCACCTTGTCATTCCCTGAATTTAGAATTATATCAACCTGTCCCCCATCTCCAACCCATAAACTCCTTAATCTCAAGGATTATTACTAGCTGCCTTCTGTATCCCCAGTCTCCAGTTAGTAATGAGTGCTCAATGTAAATGTCCCGAATAAATTGGTAATTAGTGGATCATGAGACTGCCTGGAAGGCCACTAAATATCTTTCATTCATTTTCCAGGGTCAAGATCTTCCTGTATATTATGAAAGGGATTTCCCTGTTAGGGAAACAAAGTGAAGAACAGATTGGAACTCAAGCTCCCAGAGGAAATGGGGAAAGGCCATTAATAAAATTATTGTTTAATTATCTTGATGTTTAACTAATTTCCATTTTAGTGTGTAAGGCAACATGTTAACATCAGTTACACTGAAGATAAGAAAAATTCAGATTGTTTTCTGATAAATAAATAAAATATTTATCACAGATAGTTATTATACTAAGGGAAAAGAAAGGAACAACACTTTGTATTTATACTTTTTGTTTATTGAAATCCTTTGTAGTTCCCATAAAATGAAGGTGTTAAGAAAATAAAGTACGTTTTCTTGCAAAAGAAAAAGAAAACTAAATTATGGTATCAAATGGATGTGAATAATTTATATTAGTCAATATAAAATATTGATATTAGAAATAGGTTGTATCAAAGAATTTTATGTTTTAAAAAGAAAAAAATATGGTGTTTCAATTAATACTGCAAATACTGCATCATCTTACCCATTAATTTTTTTTAGTTAACATTAACCTTAGATAGATTTATATGAAAGTTTAAGGAAATTTCTCCTTTTTAGTGTTGAAAATATTTTCAGGGTTACTTTAGAATTCAAGCTGTCAAAATGATTTTCAATTGAATCATATTTGGTAGCAACAATAATTCACATTGAACTTGCCAACTCAAACACATCAAGCTAAAACCGAAAGGAAATTTGCATTTCATCATTAGACTTGGGAGACAGAAGTTCAACCAATTCGTAGTTTGGTTCAGGTGAGGTCATTATTGTATGGGTCACATTTTGAAGAAGAGCTGTTTAAAAAACATTTTGTATTACACCAAAAAGCTACAGCCCTTCTGTGCCAGTAGCTCCAGTGCTGGGAACCAGAAAAGGGAAGGTGACTGGAGTGGGTGATGGCATTTCAGGAGCCAAAGGGAT